AAAAAAAAAAGGAAGTAGTCCTCTTTTATTTTTTCATTTCATTTTTATCTGTTGATTAGGGCCGGAGGAAAGTATTGTTGGGTTGGTTGCCTACCTACGTTTGCCCTCCCACCCACCCCTTTGCATGCATTTCCCAGTTGGTACAGTGACACATCAGCTACAGTGCCACGTCAGCAGTGCCACGTCAGCAGTGACACGTCAGACACAGTGACATGTCAGACACAGTGCCACGTCAGACACAGTGACATGTCAGACAGTGCCACGTCAGCAGTGCCACGTACGCAACAGTGCCACGTCAGCAGTGACATGTTTGCAGTGACATGTCAGCAGTGACACGTAAGCAGTGCCACGTCAGCAGTGCCACGTAAGCAACAGTGCCACGTCAGCAGTGACACGTAAGCAGTGCCACGTCAGCAGTGCCACGTACGCAACAGTGCCACGTCAGCAGTGACACGTAAGCAGTGCCACGTCAGCAGTGCCACGTCAGTCACAGTGCCACGTCAGCATGACGGGTCCAGCTCTGGGCATGCCAGGCCAACTGGCCAACGAGTCTCTGGCCGAGTACAAACAGTGGTTCCAGGCCCAGATCGCTCTGATCGAGGTTGAGGAACAACGCCAGCTGGCAGCCGCGGCTGCCCGCCTACAGGCTGAAGAAGCGGCAGCAGCAGAGAAGCTGCGGCTACAGGCCGAAGCAGACGCAGATAACCAGGCTCGCCGCAAGGAAGCCAAGGATCTGCTGCAGCGGCATGAAGCCACAAGCATCGAAAGACTCAAGTTCTGGCACTTTGAACCAAACGGCGACGACGAAACACCGGAAGAGCAGCATAAGGAGTTCCTCTTCAAACTCGTGACACGGTTGTTGTATGCTTGCAACTACCAACGGTCCGAGTTGGAGAGACAGAACCAGGAACTGCAACAGCTGTTCCAGGATCTGAAGCAACAACACCAGGAGTTGGCGAACCTCCGCCAGATGGTGCAGAGCCACGAGGATGCGACACGGGCACTCAATGCCCGTGTATAGGACCTGGAACAGGCTGTACCAGGACCAGATGCTGGTGCCTCCGGCAGTGCACCCTCTAGCCGCCAACTGGAGGAACGCGTTGATCACGTAGTAGCAATGCTCGACGACATCAGCACCTTCGCTGCGCCGACCACCGTCAGCAGTCAGCTGGAGGCATTGAAGACCGAGGTCCAGCAACTGCAGTCGACGAACACATATGGCAATCCAAAGCAATACAAGATGTCAACTTTCCAACTGGAAAAGTTCGACGACTACACACATCAGGATCCGGTCCTTTGGTGGGAAGCGTTCACGACGCAACTTCGGATTCTGCCTGTCGCCAAACACGCGTACATCGGCGCCTTGTTTATGAACTCAAAGGGCGGATGCCAGATCTGGTTGACTCACATGGCAGCCACCCACGGCGTCGACGTCGCGGATCTGAAGGACAAGATCGCATGGGAAGAGTTGACACGGATGTGGAAGAAGCGCTTCATTGTCGACGACGCACCAACACTAGCCATCAACCGGCTCTTCACCATGTTTCAGGGCAACACAGCAACACGTGACTGGCTCACGGAATGGCAGAAGATCGCAGCAGTGCCCGATCTGGACTTACCATTCACGCATCTACGCCGTGAGTTCTACAACAGGTCATGTGCTGCACTGAGCCAGACACTTGGTGATCGCGAGCAATACACCACCTTCGCTGAGATCATTGATAAGGCAAGGGAGATCATCAAGACCAACAGGTCAGCTGCACACGAGAAGTCAACGTGGCAGCCAACCTATGTGGAGAAGGTGAGAACTGGTCCGCGACAGCAGCAGTTCGCCGCAGTCCAATCGGACAACACTGTGGAAGACCCGACAGCCACCCAAGCGTCATGTGAGGGAGATCAGGTGGCTGCTGTCCAGCCGCGAAGCAACAACAAACCCCGAGTGAACGGGAAGGCGAAATCAGCATCGCCGGCCGGAAATGGACAGCCAGCACCACCATGGGTCAAGTTCGGCTTGACCGAGGCCGAGTACAAGTACCGCGGCCGTTACGACTGCTGCTACTGGTGCAACAGCACCAAGCACAAGACCTCCCTGTGCCAGGATCAGGCCAAGGAGGATGTGCGGCCTCATCTTAACTCGGGAACTGAATTGCGCAGGAGGTGAGGCGACTCCACCTCTCACTCCGCCAGATTCGGCCGCCTTGCTAGCGGCCTCCTACACATCTGGGGAGGATGCACATGTCGCAAGTCCTCGGTACACTTACGAGGATTATGCTGTCCACTTGGTCCCACTACTGGACCAACCGCTCCACGTGCAACAATCTACAACATGCACGGTTTCATCACCATCGGCAACCGATTCGGCAGCTTCGCCGTCATCTACCGCCGGGGATTCAACGTCATGGTCAAGACTTGAAGAGCTCGACCCGTTGACTTTTGAGGACTTCCAATGGATGCCCCTGCCCCGGTCGGGTCGATTGCCGAAACCGCATTGCAACGTGCTCAAAGCACAATTGCGGGATTACTTGCACACTGCAGTACCGACTCCGTTGATGGACGCCGGAGTCGAGGTTGTTGACCTTCACGCCTACATTGCGAAGATCGACCACGAGTTCAAGACGCAACGGTACGACGACATCGATGCATCATTGCTATATGTACGCATTCAGATTGGAGAGGCGACCTGCAGCGCTTTGATCGATTGCGGAGCATCTCGCAACTACATGAGCTAGAACTTCATGGTACGCGCCGGCCTTGGCCCACGAGTCCGAAGGAAGTCCCAGCCCACGCAAGTCACGTTGGTGGACGGTCACACACACAAGTCAATCGATCGGTGCATTGATGACGTCCCAGTGTACTTTGCCCCTCACACAAGTGAGGCGGTGTCCTTTGACATTCTGGACACCAAATTCGACATGATCTCGGGCATGTCATGGCTGCGAAGCGAGGACCACCCGGTGAACTTCTACCGCCGCACCGTTCACGTTCGTGATCGGAACGGAGTACTAGTCCCATGCACGGTAACTCCTCCTCACCCTTCAGTCAGCTATCACGTGGTATCCGCCACAAGCATGCGAGCTTCCATCATCGGAGACGACATCGAGGAGATGGGGGTGTGTTTTCTCCACGCCATCCCACCCCATGACGCTTCATCGACGGACTCTTCTTCGGATCCACATATCACTGAGCTTCTCGACGCCTACAGCGACGTGTTCGAAGGCCCGCACGGAGTAGTACCGGATCGGCCCATCCACCACGAGATCATCCTCGAGGACGGGGCCGTACCTCCACGTGGTTGCATCTACCGAATGAGTGAGGAAGAGTTAAGTGTGCTTCGGGCACAACTCGACGACCTTCTGGAGAAAGGCTGGATTCGGCCTAGCTCATCGCCATACGGTGCTCCTGTTCTCTTCGTCCGGAAGAAGAACAAGGATTTGCGGTTGTGCATCGATTATCGCAAGCTCAACGCGCAGATGATCAGAAACGCCGGCCCTCTCCCACGCATCGACGATCTTCTCGAGCGACTGGGCAGCGCCAAGTTCTTCTCCAAGCTCGATCTCAAGTCGGGATATCAACAACTCGAGATCCGGCAGGAGGATCGCTACAAGACCGCGTTTAAGACGCGATATGGGCATTTCGAATGGCTGGTTATGCCATTTGGCCTTACGAATGCCCCGACCACTTTCCAAGCGGCTATGACAACGGAGTTCCGACACATGCTGGATCGATACATACTTATATACCTCGAAGGCATCTTGGTGTACAGCCGAAGTTTGGAGGAGCATGTGGAACACCTGCGCACCGTTTTGGAGCGGCTACGACAAGCCAAGTACAAAGCCAACCGCGACAAGTGCGAATTCGTGCGACAGGAGCTGGAGTACTTGGGACATTATGTGACGCCGCAAGGCATCCATCCGCTTGCGGACAAGATCGAGGCCCTACGAGTATGGCCCGAGCCCACCAACACCACAGACGTTCGTTCATTCATGGGGTTGGCGGGCTACTATCAGCGATTCATCACCGGATACTCCAGGATTGCTGCACCTATGACGAGGTTACAGTCGCCAAAGGTGCCATTCGTATTCGATGACGACGCACGCCAGTCATTCCAAGCACTCAAGACGGCCATGCTCATGGCACCCGTCCTT